CTTAATTTTAAAACTCATGGAACGTTGACCTTGAATGAGATATTAAACCAGAGAAGATTTCCATGTCAAAGATGACAGCGCCTTAAAACGCCCCAACCTATTTCATCATCATTAGAATGATGAAAAAGGACCAATTTATTTTGTGAGTGAGCACATAAAAAAAAACTATGACGCACCATAGGAAAAAAGAAGTGCTGTCACATCCATTTGAAGAAAATCAGGCCTAAAGTTTGATTGGAGTTTGTTTCGGAAGTTCTAAATAGCCTGCTAAAGGGAACTTTTCAGAAAAGCATGCTGATAAAACACATTGACCCTTGATGTTGATGATGAAATAGGTTGGGGGGTTTTGAGGTGCTGTCTTCTTTGACATGGAAATTTTCTCTGGTTTAATTTCTCATTCAAAGTCAGAGGTCCATGAGTTAAAAAAAATATCAACTGAAAAAACTGGAATGTAACACAATTGTGTCAGTTATTTGCTTGGTAACGTAACAGCGATATGAAAAATGATTGGTACTCCTTTTTTTCTGATGTTTACTTTGTCGAATTACATACAATAAACAAATAGCATGCTTCCACTTAGCCAGCTGTCTGTCTGCCCAGTGACTAGCTTCATATTCATGGCGCGCCATTCGCGCGTATCGCGTCGCAGGATGTCTATTCGCGCGTTTGCATTGACTTAACATGTAAATTACTCTGGCTTGACGCGCCTTCCACGTCTGGTGTGAACACAGCATAACTTTTCAGCACATTTGTCTAACCATGCCTGTAATTCCACACTGAGACATACCAGATCCATATGGAAAAACTATGGAACCGTTCTTGACTGTTCTTAAAACCGTTCAGCACAACAGGTAAAAACACAATCATCAAGAGCAAGTTTACTTAGAACACATTCTGTGTAACTGGACCCTTAGAAAGCATATTTTCAACTGAATAATATCAGTGTCATGTTCACACAAAGCTTCTATTAACATAAAAATCAACTTCTATATAACTTAATGACATATGATTAGGCCCACATGGAATCTGCGCACAGAATTCTGCAGATTTTTAGCCTATCATTAATTCTGTTTATTTACTTGAGTAAATGTGTGTAAATCTATATTTATTCAGTTTTTGAATAAGTTTCAGTATTATTATTGACTAATATGAAAATGTTCATCTGATTTATGCACAATGCAGTTTGTACAGTAATATTTTCTGTCTTTTAGTAGATATTATCTGAGAGACTTTTATTTACCAAATGAAGTGAATCTAATTGGATTTGCATTTTAAACATTAAATACAAGTTTAGAAGATATTATTTTTTTATTTCACATATTAAGGTTTTATGATACTCACAAAAAAATTCTGCAGAAATCCGCAGATTTTTACCAAAATTCTCCGCAGAAATAAAAAAAATTTCTGCAGATTCCGTCTGGCCCTACATATGATTCATTTTTGAACATTTTAAACCGTCTTTATTGGTCATAAATTCAGTGTCAGGATTAATTATTGTCTTTTACATTCTGGTTTTTAACAACTATTTCCAAGAACCTGGCTGCAAAAACTATAACAGGTCTGAGACCCTGACACTTGGGAGGGGTCAACGAAAATAGTTGCGCAGCTGCACAAATGCAATACGTCCCAGAGGACACCCCAACCCACGAGACAGGAGGAGACCACACCCTTTGAAAAACTGACAACAATTTCAGCAAGAATGCTGTCAGCATTTGAGGAAACAGGATGGTGAAAACAATGTACACTGATGTATTTGTTTCCGCCAAACACTTGATAGTCTACACAGTTGGTCAGTGAATGACACAAGTGTTAAATTCCAGACACAGCAAGGTTATTTCATAATGCGTAACTGCACTCAGGCACCAGATCTGAAAATAGAAAATAGACCTTAATTGCTGATTATGGTCAACTAAAAAAAAAAAAACATTTCATGAAACTAAACAATATGTAATTGTTGTCTGATAAAACTAATAAAAATCACCTATTGTATTTTATGAAAATAAAAATTAATATTAGTATGTGTTATTTATGGCATCACACTTTTGGATTGATTAAAAAAAAAGTTTGGATTGGTCAAAACTGTCAACATTTGATTGGTTGTTTATCATTCAGATTTGACAATTATGAACATTTATCATTCGGATTTGGGTGCCAATAAAAAGTCTTAAAACAAACAACTAATAAACTAATATCAGTTAATAACAACAAATATAGCATTCTCAAACCAATCACTGGTCCGTCTCTATACTGTTACACATAAAGGGCCCAGTATGAGTAATGCAGATTATAAGCAATGAATGCAAATGCCTGAAGACAAAAACATTCATCTTTTGACTTCAGGGGCTTTTTTACATTCTCAGCAGGGCTGTTGACATGTCAGTAGCTGGTGTGCATATTAAGTCAATACTTCGCCAAAAAATCCAATGGATTTAATAGGAAGCTGTTCATATAATTTAAATCTTGCATTTATTTTCTGAGAAAGTTTTTTTTATTTTTCTTCCAAAGACGGCACAAGCCAAAGGCAGTGTATATAATATAATATAATTTTCTGCATGTCTCCATTCAATTTAGCCAGAACAAGTTTTTTTGTTTTAAGTGATAGCCCGTTATCGTTTATGTTGATATAATAATAATAATAATAATAATAACTATGTAACTTAAACGACGTTTTAACACATACATTTTAAGCATTAAATCATAATATATTCAAAACACACACACAACTATTATGGCTTAATATGCAGATCTGTTTATAATAACCACAAAGCATGTAAAAATACCATCACAAAACAATGAAAAGCTTGCAAAAGCACAGGCCTCATATCAGAGCGATCGATCCCAAAAACAGACTGAGAGCGAAACAGGCGCTGGGCGGATCCTCTATATAGCCCGATGTATATAACGTTACACCTATAAATTCATGTTAACCCACCGAAAAAAGACAAAATAGTTAATTTAGTATTGGTAGACAGAGATCATTTTACAATGTTAAAATGTATAGATTTGTGTTACCAAGCATTTGGAAATAAAAGTTGCTGTTTTATCTGCAAAAACAAGTGTGTTATAAATCAACAAACTCGAATACTGAAGTTTTTATTTGATCAATTAAATATTCCTATGTAGCTCAATAAATTTAAATGAGTCCAGTCGCATAATGGCCTGTTTCTGTGTTTAATGTTTAATTAACAACCCACACAGCAATATGGGTTAGTTAGCACTGCAGCTAACGACACCATTAAACAGGGCAATGAACACTCGTTTGAGAAAACGTATTTAGTTCGTGATATTCGTACAACAGCGTAATGATACATGTACGTTCATAACACAATAACAGTTTTATGTTTCATTAAACAAATGGACATGAAAACGGTCGCCGAAACGCCCAGCACGGCCCTCGAGATAACGTTAGCAAACGCGACATAAACCAGACCATTCCTTAAGCTTTGCAATAAAACCCTAGATAGTTGCGTTTGGTTTGTGGAAGATATGTATGTGTAGAGTTAAAATGTTGCAGAATGCCCTACCTTGCTGAAGGATTTGCTCTGTTTTTTTTCTGAGGCTAGTTGGTAAAGGGCGGCGATCTCGACGAATGAAATAGCAACGTAGCGATCAAATGAAGCGAGCCGCCCGAGACGGTGACATCATGCACTGCAGCAACGGGCCGAACGCTTACGGAAAATGCCGAAGTGCCCTATAGCGCCCCATAGTGCTAGATTAGATCAACGTTCTGTGTTGTTTAATATATAATAGAAATTCGTCCGCAGAATATATATATATATATATATATATATATATATATATATATATTATATATAAGATTTAAAAATACATATATTTAGTTTGCTTCTGAAAGCCACTTTTTCATTTTAATATAATTAGATTAATTTCCTGATACTGCATCTTTGTTTTCTTCTTGGCAGATCTCCTGGTGTGGAAGTAAGCCATAATAAATTTGTCTGCTGGTCTAAGATTTCTGCTGTATCAGTGTCTTGGGAAATCAGATGAAGTTTTGTGACAAATGAATATTAAGAACATTAATTCAAAATCCAGGATTAGACAAAACTGTCATTTAGATATGTGGATTGGTATGAACCTGTGGGATAACAAATAAAAAAGTATTATAGAGATAGTTCTCGGCCCCAAAATAAAATATTTCTTTGCCATTTATTCATGTCAAGTGGTTCACATTCAAGTAGTTCTAATTTTATGAATTTCTTTCTTGTTTTAAAATCAATGTGGCATGTTGCGAAAAAGTATTGCATCATGTCCCATATAATATATAATATGTTACAATTCAAATATATAAAATACATAATAATGACCACATTAAGATAGACTAGTGTTTTGTGGCTGTTCAAACATATTGACTACAATCAAAGGATTCTCATGCCTTTTGGAAGTGGACAATCTAAAAATGTTTAAAATTCTATTAAGCCCTTTAGCACCATCCACTTTTGATTGGACTGATGAAAACACATTTTAATAGGTGTAAAAGGTGAAGAAGCCTATTCAAACTTTGCTCTTACATAAGGGAACTTGGCCCAAAATATAGGCTAACATATTGTAACAGAAATGATGATAAAAATATAAGAATTTAACACATTAACATCTATTCAGTATTAAAGTTCCAAACGCTCTTAAAACTAAACATTCTTAGTGTCCATTAAACAAAAAAATTTATACAGGCCCATAGCCAGCCTATAAAAGGGGTTGTTCTTTTTTTCCTCAAAAAGTGGACCTGTTTGCAGTTATTCACCACATTTTCTATTACATTATGAGGTTCAACACTGCAATTTAGCAACAGAACACACAGACTTTAGCTGGATTTGCTAGTTTTTGACGTTCCGAAAATATTGCCTACATTTTTGGCAAAGTGCTTACCATACTTTTTTTACGTATACAAAAATAGTTTTTTTTTTTTTGTAACAAATGTGCATTTTAACTAAGTTATTGCAGCTTTATAAATAATGTAATGAGTTTAAATTTTTAGAAATATGAAAAGATTGCTGCAAGAGCCTAACCTAGGCCTATGCAAACAGCAAACAGCCATTAACAGGTTTTGTGTAAATTGCCCATTACCACACTTTTTACGTGCCCTAGAAACATCAATAGCCTCACGGTGTATAAAGCACGCGATTTCTATACGTTCATTATTCTGAATCTTGAACGCGTGTGAATCGAGTTGAAGAGATGCAGACTTGTGATTTCTGCGGGAATATCGACGGTGTCTCGTTCTACAAGTAAGTTTGCAATTAGTTTTCCGTGTTTCTCAATGTAAAAACAAAAGTGTTCTACTGCTGACTATTTTTCTCGCAGATTCCCATTACAAGAAGAGCGTCGGCGCATTTGGAGTGTCAATATGGGGAGGGATGTTGGATGGACTCCGTCTGAAACGTCGTCACTCTGTTCCGCTCATTTCACTCCGGATTGCTTTGAATCCGGATCTGCGCGTTTACATCCTGACGCGAGTCCGACTCTATTCAATTTTACACAGCCAAAGGTATCTATATCTGTCTGTCTGTTCGTCCGTCTTTAGTTTATCTGTGGAGCAGGAAAATATGTAAACTTTTATCTATAGAAATAGACATATCTATTTTGAATTAACTTGTAGCGTAATTTCTCACATAAGAGTTGTTTCATTTTTGAGTATAAAAACTGAAATTGTATTATTGTTAAAAAAAAAAGAAAAAAAGTTTTATTGACTGTTATTTATGGAACAGAAAAAATCTTTTAAAAGCCTTATGATTGGAATACATGTAAACTTTTATCTATACAAATAGATCTATCTTCCATAATCCACCCATTCATAGATCCATCTATAGAAATAGATACATCCATCCATATGTATTAAAGTAGCTTGTAGACTAGTTATCACATAAAATTGCTATTAAAAAACTGACTTTTTTTTGTTAAAGAAATGTAAGAATGTTTTATCTAGTTTATCTTTATGGAATAGAAAATGTTGTTAATGGAAAATATGCAAACCTTTATCTATAGAAATAGATCTATCATCATAGATCGATCCATAGCAATAGATCTATCTATCTATCTATCTATCTATCTATCTATCTATCTATCTATCTATCTATCTATCTATCTATCTATCTATCTATCTATCTATCTATCTATCTATCTATCTATCTTTCATTTAAATCATATATCAACTTGTCGACTAGTTTTCATATAAAATTGCTTGTAAAAAAAAAGTAACATAATTAAATGTTAATATAAAAGCTATTTTTATCAAAAACATGCAAAAATGTTTTACAGTTTATTTATGGAACAGAAAATTTTATTAATGGCTTTGTAACTGGAATATATGTAACCTTTCATCTATGGAAATGTATCTATCTTGCATCATAGATCCATCTTTCGATACAGATCCATCTATTTATCTTGCTTGATAACAGAGTACTAGAACTAATTTTTACATTTTTATAGAAAAATATTTTACTTGTTTTTACTTAAATATTAATGGCTTTACGACTGGGATACATGTAAACGTTCATCCATACAATATTTTGTGCAGAATCAACAGTTTTAACAGTAAGCAGACTGTATTTAAATTATACTGAACTTTTGTTTGTTTTTCATTTCAGAATCAGATTGTAAAAGACACTGAAATTGTTTCTTCGCACCAAGGAGCATCTACCGAGCCCAAAGACTCCTCCAGATCGACCTGTTGTGACTGTAACAAACGCCTGCATGCAACAGAAAGAAGTTACCAGCTGAAATTAGCTTCAGCCAATCTCCAGATCAAAGAGTACAAAAAGAACCTAGCAGAGGAGTCACGGAAAGCAGCACAATGGCAGAAGAGAGTCATAGTTTTGCAGAGTGCAATCAGAGCAATGAAACAAAACGGGTCGATACCTGCAACAAGAAAAACGTCTACACCTACAACTAATCATACTGACTGATGCACATTGTGACAAGATTACTTGCAGGAAGAACCAAAATATAATGACTTTGTCTAGGTAAACAAGAGGGTCAGTAAACTCGCCAGGATAATGCACACAAGCACAGTTTTCAAAGGAATTTAATACACTTCAATACATAATATACACTTGATATGTATACAAATATTCTTAGCGAATAAAAAAATTACACATGCTGCTGCATTTCATGTTAAAACAAACAACAGTGAAGCATTACTGTTTGGTTAATTCACATGACAAGTATCAGTCAAATAAAATAAAAAGTGCAAGTATGACCTTAAACAAAAAACAGATGGACGATTACAGTAATGTAAAATGTATAGCACCAATAGACACATTTTATAACAGGAATTCTATGCATTCAGTCTACTGAAAACACCAATATAATGTTCATTTTGACTCAAAGGATGCTTTGTGCATTATTTTAACAGATATACTCACATAATAGGCCGGTTATAGCTAAAAATAATTTTGGCTGACAAATAAACTGATAAATCCTGAGTTTGTGGTCATTTGAATTTTAAATCCTCCCAGCGAATCTAAATTTGAGCAGGTGATCATGATGTTTCAAATGGGATTTTATTAATAAAAGGGACAATTTATGACTGTATAACTCTTGCTGTGTCTCATCGTCATACTGATATTATGTAAACTGGAAGCAATTAAATCGAATTGATTGCTAGAACTAAAAAGCAAGCTGTATGTTTTATAGCCACATACAAGTAAACGATAAAAGATGAAATCGGTAATAGCTACTTTACAGTCCGCGCTGTGAAATCCTTCATTATTGCCATGCAAATTCAGGAAGAAAGCTTATGCATAAGGATCATAAAAGCTTTAAGTCTGTTTATTGCATAACCGTCTTGAGAGATCAAAATAAGACAAGAATTCTCTTAGTGAGATGGATATGTAATCCTAAACTGAAAGCTTTCTTGGTGCTAAACTGCAACTTTAAGTAAAATTAGCATTTCATAAGTTGATAGTTCACCCAAAAATGCCTTTACTCATCCATTGGGAATCTGAAATGTAGGTGACTGTTTTTCTTCAACAGATCCGGAAAGATTTTCAGCTCAATCGGTGCTCCTTCAATGGAAATTAAACAATCTCTGAACTCTAAGAGTAAACAAAACAAAAAAATACAGACAAAACAAATATGTATCATAATATGATTACTAAAGTGATGGTGGCATTAATTTTTCAGCTTAAAGTCTTGACAAAAAAAATCACCTACATCTCGGATGGTCTGAGGGTAAGTAAATTAATAGCAAATTCTCATATTTGAGTGAACTATTCCTTTACGGAGTAAAGCACAAACACAGTAAACTTACAGAGGTCATCAGTTGTCGACTAATACAGTTCATGTAAAAGAAGTCTTAACAGACACCTGAAAGTGGTTTCAGATAGGCGAAGGTGTGCGGAATGAGGAGCCAGTGAGAGCAGGGTCTCCAAACACATTGACGTAAGAAGATTTTAGGAACTGGACATAATTCTGCAGGCTTCGGTTTGTGCTGTCGGACTGCTCTAGTCTGTCCTTGACATCTTGTAAACGACTCTGGTATCTCCGTTCGGCCTGTAAGAAAGTTCACAAGTGAATTTTTGACAAAAATATTTGACTGAAATTCAGATTTGGGGAGATTTCACTGACCTCATCTTTGGCTCGTCGTAACTGGTTCAGCTCAGTTGATGTTCTGCTCAGTTGAGCTTCCAAATCGACAATCTTGGACTGCGTAACGCGCTCTTTAGAAGCTGCTCGCTCTCTGGTCTGGGTAACCTGTCAATCAACATCAAAGTTTGAATGCTAATTTAAAGCATGACACTGTAGATAATTAAAACCATAAGTTAAAGGGTTAATTATATCACTAATTTAAAGAATGTTATTAATTATTCACCCTCCTTTTGTTCTAAACCTTTGGCTGAGACCTTTGTTCGTCTTCAGAACACAAATTATGATATTTTAAATGAGATTAAAGAGCTCTCTCATCCCTGAAGAAGTCCAGAAAAAAAAACATGAAGAGAAGAAACTGTTGGATAAAGTTCTCATTTTTGTTTTATGTGCTATTTTCGTAACTTGATAATATTCCAATCAAACCAGTAGACCGATGGACTGTGTTAAAGATGTTTTTTAGTTCCTTTTTGGAGTTTGAACAAATTAGGACCATTGCTGTCTATTTATGGTCGGATAGCTTTTGGATTTCATCTAAAATATCTTAATTTTAACTATATTAGGGTGTGTAATTATTAACAGAATGTACACTTTTGAGTGAACTATCCCTTTAACAAGATATAGTTGGGGACAGACCTGTCGACGGGCATCATCCAATGCCTCCTCCAGCTGTTTGGTCAGAATACTGCACTCTCGAGACTTTTCTTCCAGACGCACCTGGCTGCTATGAATCGTCTCTTCCCGTTTTGAAATGACCTGGATGAGATCTCGATTTTGCGAGTTAGCCTCCTCTTGCTTCCTGAAAAGAGCAAATCAAAACCCAAAAATGAAAATTCTTCCATCATTATCTGAAACCAATTTTTACTTCAAATGAATAAGTAAATAAAAATAGAGACTACTACTTTTTTCACTTTCAATTTTCACTTTTAGATGTATTATTACTTTAAAAGATAAAATACTTTAAAATGAATGACAGAGGGATATAAGACAAGGCAACAGACCGTTCAAGGCTCTCCATTTTGTGCTGAAGCTGTTTGTTTTCCTCCTGTAGCAGCATGTTTTTGTGCCTCAACATCTCCGCCAAGCTTCCCTGTTGCTCTGCCTATACCCAATCCACCAGAATACAACATGATTTATTTATAATCCAATACAATAAAATAAAATACAATTATATTTACTTATAGTTGTACGGTGGCTCAGTGGTTAGCACTTTTGCCTCTCAGTAAGAAGGTCGCTGGTTTGAGTCTGGGAGGGGCCAGTTGTCATTTCTGTGTAGAGTTTGCATGTTCTTCCCGTGTTTGCATAAGTTTCCTCCGGGTGCTGCGGTTTCCCCCCACAGTCCAAAGACATAAGACATGCGCTATAAGTGAATTGGATTAACTCAATTGGCCGTAGTGTACAAGTGTGTCTGTGTGAATGAGAAGGTGTATTGATGTGCCAAAGGAAAATTAATAAATTAATATATTTATTTATTGTTTAACAACGAAGTGTTACAAATCAATAAAATCTGCATAGACATACCTCAAGACCCCCAGTAAGTTATAAAAATATTATTTCTGAATGTTTTATAAAATATCTATTTTTTTTCAACCCACATGGACCTGAAATGCGAAAACTTTAAATGTGTTTTGGGGGTTACCTGTACTCTGTTCTACTCTTTTAAGGCCCGTTGTCTTTTATCTTCCCTTTCACTGACCTTTGGAATAGAAATTTCTTACATTTACACCTTCTGTATGCAAATGTTAAGACCTGTTTCAAATGGCTGACCTATTTGCATTCGAAGGAAGAAATAACGGCTCTGCCAACTTGCTGAAAACTGATTAGCAATTGATATTCTAGGTTCAGTTGGTCACATCATTTACATTTAGCAGACGCTTTTGTCCAAAGCGACTTACAATTGAGCATGCATTCAGGGATTCAACAGAAGAGGCATTACACATAAGAAGTGCTAATCTTACAAATTAACTGTGCTCAGAGAATTAAGTGCTAAAGTAAGAAAGGGGGATTTATTTTTATAGAAACAAGTGTTTCTACAGGTGGTTTGTCAAGCCCACTGACCTGTGAAGTACACTCCATAAATGCAAAACATTTTTGAATTTTTTTAATGAGACGTTGAGTAATTGTAAATAAAAAAAAGTGTCTAGTGCAAATGTGCAAAACTAGTGCAAGTGTTGGTTAAACTGAGAGAGAGATGAAAAAGTGTTTTCTACAGATGGTTTGTGAAGCCCACTCACCTGTGTGAGGCACGCTCACATTCTCCTCTCATTGTCGTAATTTTAATACAAAGAGCTTTAGAGGACTTATCTTATAAAAGCAACCCCACCAGTGTTCACCAGTGATTTGAACATTTAAAAAATGTATACTCATCTAATGGTAATGCGTTTTTATAGGCAATTTTCAGAACTATAAAAGGTTTTGCCAAGTTTTTAAGATCTAACTATAAAACAACAATATACTTGGCCAACAGCAGAACACACACCTTGATGCGTAGCTCTGTAAGGGAAGTGCCAAGCTCTGTGTTTCTTCTCTCTAGTAACCTCTCTTTCTCGTGAGCTTCCTGCAGTTGGAGTTCAGCATGTCTCAGAGCTTCAGGAAGGGGCTCCAGCTCTGACAGTCGACCCTGAAGCTGCTTCCTGACCTGCTGGATCTCCTGGTCTAGTTCATCTCGTACAGCTTGAGCTTCACTTGAAGCCATCTGCAGACGTGCAGCAAACTCGTCTGCTTCAGCACGGGTCTTCTGGTTCTGTGAGTACCAAGAAAAAGAGCAAAGTTTATAGAAAATTCAATAAATGCACACATGCCATGTTATATGAAATGTACTGGGCTAATGGAATTCTGTCAATATTTATTCATCATTTATTTTTTATAAACACATTTGAGTTTCTTTCTTTTGGTTAAACACAAAAGAAGATATTTTTAAAATTGCTGAAAACATGTAACCACTGACTTCCATGTTATGGCCCATTTTCACTGGGTGGTATGGTATGGTTCGGTACGCTTTCATGGCCGTTTCCACTGTTAAATGGTACCAAAAAGTGAACTGTACTGCACCACTTTTTGGGTATCCTTTGGGAAGGGTACCTAGCACAACAACAGGGTACCAAAAGGCTGAGCAAGAGGTGCAGCTGAAAACTATTGGTTTACAGAGAAATGTCAGCAGCGCATACACAAGCAGGGGAATGAAAACAAAGGAAGCTGCATTTTTAAATGCACAGCTGAGACATAACACCGTAATAATACATACATATAAAAATGAGCCATGGTCGACCCAAGATTAAACAAACCTTGTCGTTGACTTGATGAACAGCCATAAAGCCAAGAAGAAGAGCAGAATCTACCTTGTACTCCGTAGTTGTTTACAAGGGTGTCTAAAGCGCGAGCCAAGCGCCTATACTTCTTGAGCTGATTATAATAACATGCGTGATTATTGAAGTGCTTCTGACATCCGATCCTTTGAGAAATGGACAAACGTGAGACTGACATGCGAAAAGACAAAGGAGAAGCCAGACAAAAGAAAGGAGCAAATGATTCTTTTAGCAGCCTAAAACATGAACAAACTGCCATGTTTAACTATTATGATCACTTTTTAAACTATTATTAACTTAGAAGGACTAGAAGGATTATTAACTTAGAAGGAAATACTTTCTAACAGGAGGTTACATGTGCTGGTGATGATTACATTACAGATGAGAGGTTTGCACTGACTGGGCTATAAGTTATGTGTTGCTTTTGAACCCAAATAAGGACTAAATGTATGCTGTGTGTAGTTTTACTGTAATTGGTAACATATTGGAGACTATAAGGGTCTGTGTGTTCATATATGTTGCATTAATTTATTTATTTTATATAATTGCAGATGTTACAGTTGGCTATTTTGCACTGTCATTGACCTGTGGTTTTAATCAAATCCTGGTCAAAGAAAATTTAGTATTAACATTTATACACAAGTATTTATGTGTATAAAGCATATGTTTTGTGAGAAGTGCTTTTCATATGATATGTGAACGAGCCGTACAGCTTTACTTTGACATTTCCTTGAGTGACATCGACTGAAACTTTGTTGTACACCACGCCCAAAAAAAGGGTACCCTTTTTGCAGAGGAAACACAAGCCGGATAAAGGTGACCCATACCGACCCGTACCGTACTGTACCACTCAGTGGGAACGGGTCATTATTTGTTTCTTCCTACTATAGAAGTCAATGGTTCTAACATTTTTCAAAGTAACTTATTTTGTGTTCAACAACAACAAAAAAGAATAGGAAACCACATTAGGGTGAGTAAATATTAAGTTAATTTTCATTTTTGGTGAACTATACCTTTAAGGGATGCTTAGTAAATAGTAAAAATAAGTGATTATAAATAAATATTTAATTAATAAATTTATTATACTACCAATATGTACTTATAAAAGTCCTTTACATTTACCAAGACTGCAATTCTATTATCAAAAACAGGAAATCTTGTGAAATATTTCTTCAATTTAACATAACGTTTTGACTTTTTTACAGGTCATGGTAATTATTTTATGATCCATAATTTGCTGATTTACTCAAAAAAACATTTTTTATTATCATCCATCATCACTGAAAAAAAGTAAAGTTGTAATTACTTTTCTCCAGAATAGCATCTTTGTAATCTAATGAATGCAGACTTGGAGAATAGGAAGAAGAGAGTTGTTTCAGGAAATGTATACATTTGAATTATTGCAAACTTTTAACTGGTGGTGAAGTGCCTGAATTTATAATCTTAAAGGAACACACTTATTTGGAAATGGGCTTATTTTACAAGTCCCCATACAGTTTCTTTTCAGCTGATTTTTGGTTCTGGCTAAAGCACTTTTAGCTTAGCATAAATAATTCAATCGCATTAGACCATTGGCATCTCGCCCATAAATTAAAAATAAGAAAGAAGTTGAAAATATACCTACTTAAATCTTTAAAAGAAAGCTTGTTTTCCTGTTTAGTGAGATGCTAATTGCCTAATCCAATTCAATAAATTTAGCTAAGCTTATAGCTTAAAGTTCTCTCACCAGAATCAGAAAAGCTAAATGGTTAAAAAAAAATGGTAAAACTCAACTGTTTAACACCAGAGGAATTGTAAATTAAGCTTATTCATTCATTAATTCATTTTCTTGTCGGCTTAGTCCCTTTATTAATCCGGGGTTGCCACAGCGGAATGAACCGCCAACTTATCTAGCAAATCTTTTATGCAGCGGATGCCCTTTCAGCCGCAACCCATATCTGGGAAACATCCACATACATACTCATACACAACGGACAATTTAGCCTACCCAATTCACCTGTACCACATGTCTTTGGACTGTGGGGGAAACCGGAGCACCCGGATTAAATCCACGTGAAGGCAGGGAGAACATGCAAACTCCACACAGAAACGCCAACTGAGCCGAGGTTCAAACCAGCGACCTTCTTGCTGTGAGGCGACAGCACTACTTACTGCGCCACTGCCTCGCCAAATTAAGATTATATCAAATAAAAAAGTTTGCCTTTAATAAATTGTGTTAGAGTTTGATTATCTCACCTGAGCTTTATAGCTGTCCACCAAACTCTCGTACTGTTTCACAGACACTTTGACCTGCTGGACCTCAGACTGAGACAACAACAGCTTCTCTTCCAAGGCAGTCAAAGTGGCCTGAACATGCATAATACAACAATTCAGCTTGTATTTACTGGTTATAAAGGAATGAGGGCTAATATGCAATTATGGAGAAAAATGTAACAAGCTATCAAATGAGAAAAAACTGGAACATCCTAAACATACAGTTTTGATCGGACATACCTTAAGGCTCTGGTTCTCCAGGCGTACAGTAGTGCTCTCTGTATTGAGCTCATGAAGGCGATCCAAGAGTCCGTCTCTCTCAATCCGGGATTTCTCTTCCTGCCCATGCAAATGTTCAGTCAGGTCTGTAATGCGGCTGGAAGCATACCAAAACATAGTCTGCAGTTTTTATTCTGAGGTCTTCTTTAAATTTGGAATGATAATACATTTTTTTCAATCCAATCACAAGTGGACAATGTTAAACATCAATGTAAAAGGTATCATTTTGATGTTTTGAGCTTTCTCTAATGCATCTCGAATGTACTCAAACGCATTAGATTACCAACTAAAGGCCATCGACTCTTTGTCTACTGACCCAATTCTTAAACTGTGTGGCAGTTAGATAAGATTTAAAGTTTGGTTCGAAGGGCTGTAAAAAGTCTTAATTCTAACATACACCTACACCATTCAGCAAAGTTTTGCTATCAGAGCAGAAACACATTCAGAAAAAATATTAAAAGTGGACAAAAAAAGTTTGAAAAGAAGAGTTTGAATACCAGGTGAAAAATTATTATTTACATAATTATACAAGGGACACAGATCTCTGCTGACCTGTTCAACAGTGCGATCTCCACCTCAAGCTGTCCTTTGTCCTTCATCTCTTTTGCGTGGCGACTGCTCCAGTTTTCTGCAGCTGTCACAGCCTCTGCCAATTGTTTTTCCTGTAAAAAATATACACTTTTAAATATTTAGATGGGCAACTCGGTGGTGCAGTAGGTAGTGCTGTCGCCTCACAGCAAGAAGGTCGCTGGTTGGAACCTCGGCTGGGGCAGTTGACATTTCTGTGTGGCGTTTGCATGCTCTGTACCCAGGTTTGCGTGGGTTTACTCCACCTGCTCCGGTTTCCCCCACAAGTCCAAAGACTTGCGGTACAGGTGAATTGGGTAGGCTAAATTGTCCGTAGTGTATGTATGTGTGTGTGAATGAGTGTGTGTGGCTGTTTCCCAATGATGGGTTGCGGCTGGACGGGTATCTGCTGTGTAAAACATATGCTGGATAAATTGGCGGTTCATTCCGCTGTGGCGACCCCAAATTAATAAAGGGACTAAGCCAAAAAGAAAATGAATGAATGATATTTATATCTCACAAACTGCCATTAGAAGCGGCACGGTGGCTCAGTGGTTATCTTTATCACCTCACAGCAAGAAAATTCGAGTCCCGGCTGGGCCAGTTGGCGTTTCTGTGTGGAGTTTGGTGTGGGTTTCCTCCGGGTGATCCGGTTTTCCCCACAGTCCAAAGACATGCGCTATGGGTGAAATGAGTGAACTAAATTGGGCGTAGTGTACGAGTGTGTGTGTTTGTGTGCGTGTTTGTGTGCGTGTTTGTGTGCGTGAATGAGTGTATGGGTGTTTTTTAGTACTGGGTTGCAGCTGGAAAGGCATCTGCTGCGTAAAAACATATGCCGGAATAGTTGCTGGTTCATTCTGCTGTGGCGACCTCAGTTAAATAAGGGACTAAGTCGAAGAAAAAAAATAAAAAATAATAAAATAATGAATGAAATTGCCATTAGATTTGAAAAGCTTGGGAAAGGAGAAAAAATTTTGGACTTTTGGATTTTTGGAAAATGTTTATGGTTACTGTGTTGCCCATGAGTAAACCCTTTTATTTGTATAACTTTTGTTTTGTCCTATATTATTGTTACCCAAATTTGTCCTTTTTATTGGACCAGGATTATGTTTGTTTGATTTTTCTTGTAAACCAACAATGCTGTGTGTAAGCCTTTATTTATAACAGTCATTCTCTAAATGACTTTAACAGATATTATTTAAAAAGGTAAAAACATGGTCAACCGTTTGGTAAAAGGGCAATCAAAGGGTTAAGAAAAGGGACTTGTCACCACCTACTGCCTGTTTTGCTTTATATTGTCATATTTATCATATTTATCAATGTACAAGCATAAAAGTTAAAGCACAAAACTTCATTTCTTATTCTTATAAATTAATATTATTATTATTTTCAGCAGCATAATAAAAACTAAACACACAAAACCTGAAGTATTGTTTAAAGGAACACTTAAAAAATGGGCCCATTTTAAGTCCCCTACAGCTAAACAGTTGAGTTTTACCATTTATTAATCCATTCAGCTGAACATTAGGTCTGGCGGGAGCACTTGTAGCTTAGTATAAATCATTGAATTGAATTATATATATGCAGCACCTGAAAATAGTCCCAAGCCAAGTAACAGTGTTGCATAATATCGTTGCGCCTGCTGCAGCCTTGATCCAACAGAAAAGTTTCCTGACATTTATTTTGGAATGAGTAAAGTCCCTAGAATCAATTTTAAATAGGACAATTATCAAAACTCTTTTTCAGAATTTTGAGCAGGACGTTAATGGTCTAATCCGATTCAACGATTTATGCTAGGGTATGCTAAAAGTACTCTCACCAGACCCTGATATCGGCTGAATGGATTAAAAAAATATAAAACTTAATGGTTTAACTCTAGGTGACTATTTCTCAAGAAAAAAAAGTGTAGTGTTACTTTAAGCCTAGTTCACTTACTATCTCTAAGAGCTGGCCACTGAGCTGTCCGACAGTGTCTTCACTGCGCTGTGCCCGCAGTTTCTGTGCCCGCGTGGCTTTCTTTAGGGCCTCCTTATCAGCCTCCGCCTGCTGCCTGAGGTCTCGCAGCTGGTTCTGCAGGTGGTCCATCTCCCCCTGCTGCTGGCTGAGGGATCGCTCCAGATTCTAGATTCAATGGACACAGCTTTATAGATTTTTTTACATCATGTATACTTGAAATCGATCTAGCTGCGTTATTTAAGATAGCAGCATAATTTAACACCGTAGCACACATTGTTTAACTACTAATGTGGTATGCCTTACCCTGATCTGAACGTTAAGGCGGTTATTCTCTGCTTCTTTATTTCGCAGTTGACCCTGTAGATGTGCACGGGTGGACTCTAAGACTTTGGACAGTTCGCTGGTGGTTTTTGAGCTTTCCTGTTGCATTGAGTAACAATAAGGCTTAAATTCAGGTAAGTGTTCAGACAAATTTAGACAAAATACTTTACCTTTTCACTCTCTAATATGGAAGTGAGCTGGTTGACCTCTCTTTCTTTGTCTTGAAGCTTTACAAGAATACGCTGGAAGATGAGAGAATCAATGTTAAAATGAAGAAATCAAAAATAATGAAGTCTGCTTTATGCTAGGTGTGTGTGATATTTATAATCTACAACAGAAAAATTGAATTTGTTGTTTTATTGAGCTCATTAAACAATGAATACAAAAAACCTATACAAAAGCAAAGGTTTGATTTTATTTATAACTTTTTTTTTTAAATATGACGTTGCAAGAATCCTGTTTTCTTAATTAGTAGCACATGAGCGTTTATATTATATTATATTATATTCTATCATATTATATTTTATTATATAAAAATGAAGTTATTGAGTGTGTTTATATTTTACCAACAATATCGTCTGCTTTTTTGCCAATAAAAATAATAATAAAAAAGTCAAAGCGGAACATTGGTGCACCTCAGGGCAATGAACAAATGTGATGATCCTTTCATAAAGAAAGCCACTTCTTTCTGAAATAATCTAAACTCATCTGAATGAAAAGAACTTGGCGCCCCCTACTTTTGGTTTTAATTAGGCTGCACAATATATCATTTCAGCATCGATGTCGAATGTGATTATTCGCAATAGTCACATCGCAAGATATGCAACGTTGAGTCTGGATTATAATTTATCATTGGAGTGTGTTTTTGAGGCCTTGAGGATTTTAAAAGCATCCAGGCCTAATAAATTGTACCTTTGTAACTTTTGTTATGATTAGTATTATCAATTTTTAAAATGCAGTATTACTTTACATTTGATCAGTCAATTACTGTACCTGAATACTTCAGAAAAAAAAAATAAAAGACTGTTTATTTTATCTGTATCTCTTACTTTGTTTTGTATTTATCTATACTTACTTGTAAATAGTTTACTTACTGATATGCACTCCCCAACAGAATCAAGCCAATCAATCTAAAATTATAAATTTTTTCCAACTAGAGCTATTCCACTCATCTGCAAAAACGGCATTCATATTGCAATATAAAAAAAAAAAAAAAAAAAAAAAAAAAAAAATCGCAAAATAACAAAATATTGCAAGGTTAAAATTTTCAAATATCATGCAGCTCTAGACTTAATAGCATATTTATTCATGAAAGGCATTCTGAGTCTCATGTTGTCCCAACAAAAATCGATTAAGTTAATTTAATTGTTTTTACAAATTTAAGTGGATTGAATACGCAAACAAAGACTCAAGATTTGTGTTAATTCACCTCATTTTAAATTAATAGTTTGAAGTTTAAAAGAGCAGAAAAGAAAATCTTTTTATGAGAGAAACCAAGGACATCAGCACAAAACATACTCAGGTATAGGGATGCAATGATTATAGATTTTGGTTGTACAGTTATAGTCAGAGGAATAATCACTGTTTAACGGTTATCACGATTATTATGCATTCAAAAATTTTAAAATGTTACTAGTTTAGAACATCACATGAAACTCTATATATTTTAAATTATTATTTATTGCTGTGGATTAATAAATAATACAGCACAAAATATTAATAAAAAAATACCAATAGTTCATTTCTCTTTGGACTAAAAAATAAGTGAAAAAAGTTTTGACATAAGTAATAATTTTACACTGAAAATAAATCACAAAACAATAAATTAATAAATAAATAAATAAAAATTTAAAAGAATATTTTTTTTATTTGGCTAATGTTAATCTAAGCTACCTATTAGCAAAGTATTCCCCTTTTAAAGACAACAAATCTAGTCAAAGGCTGCTGAAGCTGTCTGCAAGGCACTTTTGATCAACTGTATTGTGAACTTGTTTGGTATTTTCATTTTGTATGTTTTTTTTTTTCTTTGGGATAGATACACATTTTTTGCACAAAAATGGGATATGTAAACATCCACTTTTAATAGCCTCAGCTATAGTTAAAATCAGCCTTTAATCCAGTGTGGGTGCATTTTAGCCTCGCACACAAGCTCAGAACTTTAAACTAGCGCACAATTGGCATAACTTTTGTTTAGTTGAAGTTGTTTTGTTCAGTGCAGAAACACGGTGTTGAGAAGCCTTTACAATTAATTAACCGCGATGAATTAAACCACGGTTAATAGTGAAACCGGTTAATCGTTGCATTCAGGCAAAAAGCAATCCACAAAAATACTGGGATATATATGAGCAAATCCATGCAAATGTCAACCTTTCCATAAAAAAAAAATTAGGTTTTCACCAAAATATGGAAACCGTAAAGTACTTTAAAAATGCTCAAAAATGTCTCTGTCGATATTTTCAAACAATTATATTTGATTTACCAAAGTCACAAAAGTGGCAACTTCAAATCGGTCACATCCATAACAGACAGACGCCACATAACAAAACTTTGTCCTCATAAATGCAAAAATGTCAAATAAAATAAAGTCAAGCATTTTTGTTCTATAGAGAGACATATGTTATCCTTTTGATTAGCATTGTTTCTTTTGGGTTGTGCAGTTTACTTCTCAGAATTTCGACAAAATTTGTCACATCCATAACGCATGCTTATTTTCCTCATTTAAAGTATAAAACATGTTTACAGATTGATATTTTTCTCTACCCATAACTCTGTGGTCAGTTGTTCTGGAAAATATAAACAGATGTTTCAATATAATGTTAACGAATACTTTCTCTGTGAATTTATGTTTTGAGTTTTCACAGCAAATGTCACATCCATAACGCTGGAATTGCTCATATCTTTTTCACACACAACACTAACCGAATTCTCTTCTTCTACATCAGAAAGCCTTTTCAGCAGTGCATCTTTCTGTTCCAAGAGTCTAAGTGAGTCCATCTGAAAAAAGATTAATAATCTGTTCGTTATAGGTACATCAAATCATAGTTCTCTAACAATAATTTTTGAAGTCCTTCAAAGCAGTACCTCTCTGCTATGCTGTTCTCTAAGAAGATGCCTAAGAGTTCTGTTGGTGCTCTCAAAAGTCTCCAGCTTCTGCAGTAACATCTCCTTTTGTCGAACCAAAAGTGTCGAGTCTGATCCTGACATCTTTTTCTCCTGTATAAATATATGAAAATATGGTAACACTTTACTATAAGGTTTATTAGTTTATGTAAATTAATGTATTTACTAACATGAACAAACCACAAACCATACATTTATTACAGTATTTATTTATCTTATGCCTAGTTCAGACTGCGTGATTTTAGCCCCGATTTTGGATTGCCGACAGGTTTTGAGAAATCGCTGACAAATGCCTGAAATCACAGGCAAATCGCTGCTCGTGCAAGTGAGTGACAATCACACAGTATGAACTATATAAGATATGCAAGATATTTGGCATGCTAAATATCTGGAGCTGTCATCGATTCAAATCATGCCGTGTGAATTGAGTTTTGACTGAAAATAACATCAGCGATCGCCTACAGCCAATGAGAGAGCAGCATTCACTTGTGTGTGCGTGTGTGTATACCTGCTGCCGGCCAGCGGGAGGCTGGGGGAGAAGCTAAAATCGCTCCTTTTCGGTTTATTTGGACCTACGAAATGGAGGAAAAACTAGTGGAGGTTTGACAGGACTCAGGAGCAACCGTGTCTGTTTGACGTTTCATACAAAAAAAAATTAGTTTATTATCAACGTTGAGGAGAAATGGCTAATTCCCTTTAAACCCAGGTGAGCAAATATGTACATTTCTACCCCATTAAAGGCTTCTTTCTCATTATGTAGTTAATAACAACAGATATACTACGTGTTTTTGGCTGTGAGACGTAGTTTGGACGAAGTTGTTGGCGATTCTTCCTATAGTAAAGTCATGCAATGTGAAAGTCCCTGTCGCCGATCCATCTTGCAGTGTAAACAAAGCAGCGACGAAACGCTAGCACAGATAGTCATGCAGTGTGAAAACATCTGTGACATGACTCCTTTGAAAATCATGCAGTCTGAACTCGGCATTAGTTAGCGTTGATGAAAGTGCAGTTGTTCACTGCACTATGTTAGCTCACTAATTTTTAACAAGCATGAATTTGAATGAAAAAAAAAATGCATTAGGGAGACACGGTGTCTCAGTGGTTAGCACAGTTGTCTCACAGCAAGAAAGTTGTAGGTTCGAGTGCTGGCTGGGTCAGTTGGCATTTCCGTGGGAAGTTTGCGTGGGTTTCCTCTGGGTGCTTCGGTTTCCCACATAGTCCAAAGACATGCGCTATAAGAATTGGATTAACTAAATTGGCCGTGGTGTTTGTGTGTGAATGAGTGTGTATGGATGTTTCCCAGTACTGGGTTGTAGCTGGAAGGGCATCCGCTGTGTAAAACATATGCTGGATAAGTAGGCAGGTCATTCCGCTGTGGCGGCCCCTGATGAATAAAGGGACTAAGCCAACGGAAAATGAATGAATGATTGAAAACTGCATTAGTAAATGTCAAACTATGATTAATAAATGCTGTACAAGTATCGCACATATTTAGTTCATTTTAGTAAATGCATTAACTAATGAAAGCTTATTGTAAAGTGTGACCAAAAATGTTATATCATTTATTTATTTTAAGCAAGCCACAAGACAATGGTTTGAAAGTTCTGAAAAATGCTTACACTTGTACTCCTAGACATTTGGCTGACCGTTTCGCGAAGGGCCGAAACCTGTTTTGCAGCCGCACTGCTGTCCATCTCTGCTTCCAGCAGCTTCCTGAGTAGAACATCTTTGTCAAGCTGCATGCCGTCCCTCTCTACTCTACAATAGAAGGAAATGGTTCAAAACGTACTAATTATTTCTTATATGTAAAATCAAAATGCTTTCATTATACCTCCCGAAATCATTCTCTGCCAGCATCTTCTCCATGGACTCTCGTAGACGTGAGTTCTCCTGCTCTGTGGCCTCCAGCTCTCGGGCGACTTCTGCAAGCTCCTCTTCCTGTTCAGCGATGACACGCTGGGATGCGCTCAACCTCTCCGACTGACGCTCAAGCAGCTGCTCCTTCTTACGAAGCTCTACCTGTAAACACAAACATTAGCAAATTTACACCCAAAGAATACTGTAAGGCGTATTTACAAAAAAAAATCTACTTAATATCCTTCAAACCTATGGAATTTAATCAATGTAAATATAAATAAAAAAAATGCTGTGTATAGTTGTAGTCAAAATTAATATGTGATAATGTAATTTAATAGGTGAATTTATATATAATGTGATTTTTTTTTCATTTTTTATATTTCCCAAACTATGATCATTATTATTAGCCCCTAAGCAATACATATTTTTAGATTGTCTACAGAATAAACCACTGTTATACAATGACTTGCCAAATGTGCAAACACGCCTAATTAAGTAGATTAATTAAGCCTAATTAAGCCATTAAATTTCACTTTAATATGAATACTAATTTATTGACAAACATCTAGTAAAATATTGTGTATAGTACTGTCATTATGGCAAGGATAAAATAAATCAGTTATTAGAAATGAGTTATTAAAACTATTATATTTAGAAATGTGTTGAAAAAAAATCTTATCTCCATTAAACAGAAATTGGGCAAAACAATATACAGGGGGCTATTAATTCAGGAGGGCTAATAATTCTGATTTCAACTATATATAACATAGAATTTCATTAATACCTAAATACCGTATATGTTAGAGTGATAATGGGACATTATTTTACACGTTTTTATATATTTTTTACACATTTTTATATTTATATGTTATAGCATTTAAACAGACACTTTACTAAAGTAGAAAAAAAAAACTGTTTAATAAAATACATTTTTGAAATCTAACTGGAAGTGGACAACAAAATCAGACAAAAAAAACTCTGCAGTATTTCTATTTCTTATTATATTTTCTTCTGAAGAAAGTCTTATTTGTTTTAGTTTGGTTGGAATACTTTAGAAATGTAGACATGAAAAAATTAAACTTGTTAAAATTAAAACTTGTAAAATAAAGTTGTTAAAAGTATTATGTTTTTTTTTATCTCTCTGTTACAAAACCCTTTAAAAAATGTATAAAAAAAATTAGGAATTGAAACTTTATAGGAGGGTCATTAAATTTGTCTTCAATTGTGTATGTATACACTAGTCAACATTTAAGGTGGATCAAAAAAGTTTTTTCAAAAAGACAAGCGTGAGTGTTGTTGATTAGTTTAGGAGAACTTTAATAAAAGGTTTTTAACTAAGTCAAATGTTGACTACTGTATATACATGTATATATTTGTTTAAAAGTAATTTTTCAAAGCACTGAATTAATAAATGTAACTAAAGTTAAACTTAGTTACTCTGACCTCTGAATAAAAGCAACTAAAGTTACATTTATTCCTCTAAAAAGTAAAGAACAAAAACACAACTGCTATTGACGAACGGTCTCCATTTCTCACCTCCTTTTTCAGAGAGCTGACCTCTGTCATCAGACTGTCGATCTTCCTCTCGTACTGATTTATGCGTCCATGCAGTGCCTCTTCTTCATTGGTGGACAGATCTTCTATTCGCATAGGAGACTGGGAACGCTCAGGCTCCTGTGGAGCCGTTATTTCCAGACGATGGGATGGTCCCTAAAATTTAAAAATCAAATAAAAATCTAAATTTATTTCCATGACTATCACTAAACTGCATGTTATATTGTAACTAATTGTACACAAGCACAGATGGGAATGTATTTGTAATATTTGACTGACATCCCACTTATATGAGGTCTCTCGGGCTGAGACCTTGCCAGGGGGAATCCATGGAACTCTTGTCTTCACCTTAGCAGTAGGATGCAAGCCAGTTTTTGACTTAACCTGGAACATAAAAGAAATGCATGGATTCACTATGGGCAAAAACTGCTTTACATGTATGAAAATTGCAACATATTTTGGAACTTTACTAATTGTGTAATTTAAAAAAACAAAGTATCATTATAGGTTATTATATACATTTCCTGACTAAAAAGCTGAATTTCCATAAAAAACAAGGCACTGCTGTGTTTTGCATACTACTAATTAATTAGTAATCTTAATAACCTTATTTACCACAACTGCGTAGTGGAGAATGAATAAGATTGTGCTTAAAAATAGCCTAAATAAAACAATAGGCAAAATGTGAAACACTAGAAACACTTATAAAATCCATGACTTTCAATGTATGAAATATATATACATTATTTTTTTTATTTTATAATTCTTGTCTTCATATATATGAAATTCCAGAAATTTCATAATTTGTGGGAATCCTGTATATATTATTAAACAGTAATTTGGGAACAAGTGTATATGCACAGACTATTTGATGATGTCATACCTGGGCTGTCTTGGTAGGGCTGCATTTCGTGCTCTTCTTCACATGAACATGCACAGGTGTGCTCTCGTTCACGTGCACATGCAGGGGTGGGGAGGAGGACCTTGTTCTCACTGATTTCTTCTGTATAAAAAAGATAAATATCAATAATATATCAATTTTATTTCGAGTGTACAAAAACATCTGTCCGACTGAACAAATCATTATTTTGCCCACATTCTAACATTTCATTCAACAAAGGGAAATTCAAATATCTAAATAGACACTTTATTTACATTTTATATGCTTCCCATGTTTATAAAATTATTGACTTAAATTTAATTTCATATAGGTTTTATGTTTTACTCACACACACACACACACACACACAAACACACACACACACACACACACACACACATATATATATATATATATATATATATATATATATATATATATATATATATATATATATATATATATATATATATAATAAATTAATATAATTTATATATGAATTTATGTTAAAATTACATTGATCCCTGTTACGGAAAAGAAATATTTTATTTTCTATTTTTTAAATATCACAAATATACACACATATAATAAGATAATAGTATCAGTAAAACAAACAATAGAAAAATTAAATAAAATGATGTAAAGCAATCCATTAATTTATTCATTTTCCTTTGGCTTGGTCCCTTTATTTATCAGGGGTCGCCACAGCGGAATGAACCACCAACTTACTCAGCAAATGTTTTACACAGCAAAACCCTTCCAGCTGCAACCCAGTGCTAGGAAACAATATATTATATTATTATTAATAATAAATAGTAATATTTATAAGCTCATTTGTGTTTGACCTTATTTGTGTTTTAATAATTCATGTAATGTAATAATGCAAAGTAATTTTATTCACAAATAACTATAAATATTTTAAACAATTAAGCATCAAATCAGCATTTTAGAATAATTTCTGAAGTATTTTGTAGTATTAGTATTAATGGTATTAGGAATATGACCATGAAGGCTGAAGTTATAGCTGCTGAATACCCATTTTTACTATTTAACACATTTTTTTCCCCTTTAATACTTATTTTATGTAGTAAAAGCCTTTGTTTATGATTCTGTGACGCACTGAAGTATCATTTTACTGGTTCATCTTCAGGTCAAATTTCAAATGACAGTAACTTACTCAAGACTGTCAGTGGTAAACCGAGACCACCATAACAGACCCTTCTACAATCATTTATGACATTTGACTTAATGTAAAGCGGACAGCAAATATAATAATTTAAATATAGCAAATATAACAAAAATCTATGTGCACACCTTACAGACCTCTTTACTGGATTCAGAAGAAAATGAAAAAGCCAAATAGGACACAGAACTGCAAGCTAACAGGCAAATATATAAACTTATGACGTTAAAACTAGCTTTCTTGACACGTAAACACAAATATATTGAAACAGAAATGACACAGAAGTCATAAATAAAACAGAAAACGCTGCAGATAAAGTCAGTTGATCAGAGCATGCATAGTTTGACGATTTCTAATATACAAAGTCATTAAAACATAAGCATATTAATCTTCAAAATATCTTACCATGCGAAATTACAAACATTCAAACGCCGATATGAGCAAAACGTGCATAAAAATAGTTGCGAACTACTTGTGTCATCCCACAGTCTTGAAACCCTTTTCTTCCGGTGGGTAATCGCTCTTTCATTTGATTGGCTGATTCAAAGGGTTTCGTTTGCAGTGCGCTGTCGTGATTGGAGGAAATAGGCTGACCTTGGTCAACGTTACACAGTTCGCGTTCTATAGCAACGGTGTCCCTAGAAACCAAGCCTAACAAAGGCCCAAGCTACAGTTATTGTCATGGATAACTAGCATAACAACAAATCTCTGTTTAACGACATTCCTGTGATATTTTTGACGAACAGGTAACGTTACTAAAATCAAGTTTTGGAAATGCTGTCTAGTTTTGGCGTACGCTGTTTATCTCACAACTGCAACAACATGTGAACCACGAAGTAGCCTACTGTGAAGAGCTGGCTTTCAAAATAAAAGCGTTGAAAACGTTAACATTATGGATATGAATTACACTGTCAATGAAGAAAAATACAAGAGAGAGAGAGAAAGAAAAAGAGAAGAAAAAATAATAATAAAGAACATGATATATAAACTTGAGGGTAAGACATTTAAGAATAAATTACGGTAACTTACATAAAGTCTTTACAAAATGAAATAGTTCTGTTAGCTTTTTAATTTTTACATAATGAAATTAAATGTAAATAATGACAAAAATGTAGCAAAAAAAGAGGAAAGTATGGTTTAACTTAGTATTAGTTACTTTACATTTGTGGATATGGAATTTATATAAAAAAAAAAATTCATTTATAACAAAACAAGCATTAACGTTACTCTTGGTAGAGACAGATTAATAATAACCAAAACTAATTTCTAAAGTAACAGAAACATCTTGCTGTATATTATCATTAATAAATACGCCATATTGTTTCCAAAATTGTACAGCATACAATCCCAAAATAAATTTCAGTATGAAATTGACAAAATTAACATTTTACATCAATATTAGAATAAAACTTTTTCAAAAATTGTTTTATAGGATAAAACTTGCTGATTAATTTAAAATACACTTCTTTGACCTTGTTAATGAGGAAATGGTTTTGTTGCAAAGACCATATTTTTGCCACTTAAAATCTCTAAATATATTATTCCAACAAGAGATGACAAGAGAAATTTCACTGGTAGTTTATAGAATATAACCCAAATTACGTTTACTCAAATACATAGGTATATATTTCAAGTGGTCCCTTCATTTTATTTCCATACGTACAAGAACAAACGATTATACAGTAATAATTTATATAACGTTTAGTACATAGGCTATGTATTGTATACAGATGGAATCTAATTGATAATTTCCCAAAATCACATAGAATAGAAAAATGAATATAAAAAATGAAAGGAAACGCAGTAAAAAAAAGTGCTCATAAACGATCAGTGTTTATTTTTTTGTCATTTTGATGGATACTTGTGGATATTGCTTCAAAATAAAAGTCACTTAAAGTTTTTACCTGAGCAAAAAGGAAATTGTGCTTTACAAATGCCACAAGATGGCGATATTTATTTAACGCATTTCATTCATTTATTTATTCATTTTCCTTCGGCTTAGTCTTCTTATTCATCTGGGGTCGCCACAGTGGAATGAACCGCCAACTTATGCAACATATGCCATACACAGCGGATGCTCTTCCAGCTGTGACCCAGTACTGGGAAACATCTATGAGCAATTCCAGCGCTATGGATGTGACATTTGCAGTAAAAACTCAAAACATAAATTCACTGAGAGAGTATATCTTTACAATTTATTAAAGTATCTGCTCATATTTTCCATAACAACTAGCCACAGTGTTATGGGATCAGAAAACTATCAATCTGTAAACATGTTTTATACTTTAAATGAGGAAAATAAACATATCATGGAAGTGACTAAAAAAAGTCTGCAAGTTTACAGTGTACAACATACTTTGTAGAAATTCTGCGAATTAAACTACACAACCCAAAATAAACAATGATAATCAAGAGGATAAGAGTCGGCTCACTATGTAACAAAAATGACTGATTTGACTTTATTTTACATTTTTGCATTGATAAGGAAAAAAGCTTCATAATGGATGTGACGTCTCTCCGTTATAGATGTGATATATGTGAAATTGCCAGTCGTGTGACTTTGTTAAATCAAGTATAATTGTTTTAGAACACTGACAGAGACATTTTTGAGTAGTTTTACAGTCCTGTACAAATACAAGCCTACACAAAAAAACGTAGAAAGGATCAACTATTTTGGTAAAAAAACTTTTCTTTTTTTATGGCAAGGTTGACATTTGCATGGAATTGCTCCTATAAACACTCATTCACACTCATACACTATGGCCAATTTAGTTCATTCAATTCACCTAAAGCGTATGTCTTTCGACTGTAGGGGGAAACTTGAGCACCTGTAGGAAACCCACAGGGAGAACATGCAAACTCCCCACAGAAATGCCAACTGGCCCAGTTAGAACTCGAACCAGCGACCTTCTAGCTTTGAGTTGACAGTGCTAACCACTAAGCCACCATGTCGCCCTATTAACCCTTTTGCTTATTGAATTTAAAAACAAGCTAGCCCTGTATTCTGAAGCATAAGCAATAATTAAGTAAAATATTAAACCAGGAAATGTTATGTTTAATCATTTTTATTGATTATATATATTATTTATTTATTTTAGTATATATGTATTGTTAAAGGTGACGTAGTGGCACAGTAGGTAGTGTTGTCGCCTCACAGCTAGAAGGTCACTGGTTCGAGCCTTGGCTGGGTCAGTTGGCATTTCTCTGAGGAGTTTGCATGTTCTCCCTGCGTGTGCATGGGTTTCCTCCGGGTGCTCCAGTTTCCCCCACAGTCCAGACATGTGCACAGGTGATTTGGGTAGGCTTAATTGTCTGTAGTGTATGCATGTGTGTGGATGAGTGTGTATGGGTTTCCCAGTGATGGGTTGCGGCTGGAAGGGCATCCGCTGCGTAAAACAAATGCTGAATAAGTTGGTGGTTCATTCCGCTGTGGCGACCCCAGATTAAAAAAGGAACTAAGCCGAAAAGAAAATGAATGAATGAATGAATGTATTGTTAAAAAGTGTATATCATTTTGTAAGAATGTACAGTTTTACTTATGTGTGCCTATGCAATTAAAGTTGAAATGCAAAAAAGACCAAATAAAATAAATTTGCTATCAAGAGAAATTGTGAAAAGTTAAAAATTGAGGAAACAATTTAATTAGCAGCAAACAGTTTCATACAGTCCACATGTATGTATATGTATGTATGTATTGTGTTTCTTTATCTTATTTATTTATTTATTTTAGCTTTTATATTTATTTGTTTGTATTAATAGTCAGCGTTTCTTAGCCTGTACGAATTTTCCTAAATTTGCCTATAATGGATTGTTAATAATGAAATGCAAATAATAATAGTGTTTCTTTTATTTATTCATTCATTTTATTTTTTGCTTAGTCCCTTTATTAATCTGGTATCGCCACAGCGGAATGAACTGTCAACTTATCTAGCATGTTTTACACAGCGGATGCCCTTTCAGCTGCAACTCGTCACTGGGAAACATTCATACACACATTCACACACATACACTATGGACAATTTAGCTTGGGGTAAACTGGAGCACACAGAGGAAACCCACGCGAACACGGGGAGAACGTGCAAACTCCACACAGAAATGCACACTGACCCAGCTGAGGCTTGAACCAGCGACCTTCTTGCTGTGAGGCAAACGTGTGACACACTGCACCATGCCTCTCCCCAATTTATTATTATTCATTTATTTTTTTTTCGGTTTAGTCCCTTCATTAACCTGGGGTCACCACGGTGGAATGAACCACCAACTTATCCAGCATATGTTTTAATCAGTGGATGCCCTTCCAGCTGCAACCCATCACTGGAAAACACCCATACACTTCCATTAACACATACACTACAGACAATTTTAGCCTATACCCAATGTACCGCATGTCTTTGGACTTGTGGGGGAAACCAGAGCACCCAGAGGAAACCTGGGCGAACAAGGGGAGAGCATGCAAACTACACACAGAAACACCAACTGACCCAGTCGAGGCTCGAACCAGCAACCTTCTTGCTGTGAGGCGATTGTGCTACCCACTTTGCCACCGCGTCACCTTAATTTATTATTAATAATGATTATTTAATATAAATATCTATATTATTTATTATATATTTATTGTTATTTATTATTATTATTACTTTTGCTAATTGTTAAAAATAACCTGATACTCTTTATATTCTTACATTCTACATGTCATGAATATTTTCAATAAACATGCTTATAAAAAAACAGATATCTTCTCCTAACATAACTTGTGTTTAAAAAATAGTATTTAAAACAATAAATACGTGAATGTACTTACTACAGTAATACCTGTCAATTATTACAATTATTCTCATTACATACAATGACATTAAACCAAACTCCAAACTTAAAACACGTACGATGCCAGATAACATTACTCATATTACTCAAAAGTTAAACTAGATTATAACAAGGGCAAACTAAATAAATTAATATGCAAAGTTTTACATTTTCTTCTTATTACAGTAGACGTTCTTTACAACAAAACCATTATTAATTTATGATTAATAATGATTATTTATTTAAATATCTATATTATTTATTATATATTTATTGTTATTTATTATTATTATTACTTTTGCTAATTGTTAAAAATAACCTGATACTCTTTATATTCTTACATTCTACATGTTATGAATATTTTCAATAAACATGCTTATGAAAAACAGATATCTTCTCCTAACATAACTTGTGTTTAAAAATAGTATTTAAAACAATAAATACGTGAATGTACTTACTACAGTAATACCTGTCAATTATTACAATTATTCTAATTACATACAATGACATTAAACCAAACTCCAAACTTAAAACACGTACGATGCCAGATAACATTACTCATATTACTCAAAAGTTAAACTAGATTATAACAAGGGCAAACTAAATAAATTAATGTGCAAAGTTTTACATTTTCTTCTTATTACAGTAGACGTTCTGCCTCATTAATTATTCATCAGCTTGTCAGCATGGGCGGGGTTCCGGACCCGGAAGTCAGATGTTGCTGTTGAGTCACCCCTGACTGGTAGCAGCCAGATAGCGGAAAACAACTAGAGATGATGCTGGAAAGCACGGCATCTTTGAACCGATCCAGAGAGTGAATAAATGCGTTTGTCCATACGGATACCGCCTTGAGCATTTGTGGTTCGCTCTTCGAGACTGACGTTGTATCAAAATGATGGAGGAAATTGACAGATTTCAAGTGCCACCAGTGAATCCAGAGATGAAGCTGCTGGTAAGTGTCACTTTCACTACATGATTAGAGAATAACACTATGTACTTTTACAGGACAAGGGAAATGACAGTGTGTGTATGAAGACAGTAATTCTTGTCTGGCCCACTAACGCAGGGTACATTACCAAAAGGATCCGTGGGGATGTTTAGACTGTTAAACCGACATATGCAACTCTCTAGATGAATGATTCCCTGTTGTTTTGGTGCTGACATTGACTCAGTCGTGCTTCGAGAATGTTCGTGAGTAAAACATGTGCAAAATAACCCTGCCTTAATGAGACAAAACAAAAATGCCCAAATTATAAGCTATATTTGTAATGCTGTTTACTGTGTGTAATTAGGGGTGACTGATACGTGAATGTGTTGATGTAGTGAATCGGATCTTTTAATTGATTCGGTCCAAGCGGTTCATTTACTATTTTCGATTGTAATTGAATCACTATGAAAATACAGTTCTTGCTCCAGATGCATCTGTTTCCGATTGATAATATAATGAGCTTACACTTACATTCATAGTGAGCTTACACATTTATCAGAGAGATCAAACATGCTGCAGGTTAAGAAAACGCAAGCAAATTGAAAAAGTTGAGACTAGGGGCCCTGTCACACAGCCCGCTCAATAAGGCTCAAGATGTGTTTTGGCGCGATTTATTGCTATTTTCAGACCAGCGCAACTCTAATTTTCACATTGTGCATCATGTTGTTTGAATAGCAAATCCATTCACGCTACTTTGTGGACTCATGGGTGTTCCATTCTAAAAAGGAGGTTTGTTAAGGCGAATTGTTGACGCATTGTTATTTTGAAGAACTAAATTAGACCAAGCCATTGACCAAGTAAAACCTGGTCTAAAAAAATCCAGCACAGAGCACGCTAGTTATGTGCCTTCACAGGTCCAAAACGCTACACGCTGTTTAATTCACACAGGATGTACAGCAATATACAAATATTTTTACAAATGAACAAAAAATAAAGGATTAAAATGTTACAAAAATTATTATTTTCTACATAAATATAAAAACCACTACCTCCATGCCTTTTTCACCTCAGGGGCTTTTTTTCTGTTTATTCATGGCAATCAGCGTTTTTATAATGTTATTATTATTAGCGGTGTTATTCATTATATGCATATTTGTATTTGTTTTAAAAATTGTTTTAATAAAAAGGAATGTCCGCCTGTCAGGGTTTGGAGACGTATGCATCACCATATAGTGCTTAAGAATAGGATGTGAGTTTGAATATAACTCAGTTTTTGACCACACTTCGTTATTATTGTTCATTTATTCATTTGCTGGAAATTAGAAGTGACGCATAAAGTTAGAAATTGTTTTGAAACAAGTCTTTGCATTTAATAAATAAAATTATATATGTAGGCTAATGCATGTCTTTAGTGGAGTGCGTACAACACTGTTTCCTCATCCACGAAAGTAAAGGAGTAAAGAGAAAGTAAAGAGTCTCAATGGAGGAGGCTCGTTCTTCATCCTTGCACTACAGATGGTCTTTTTAACTGTTTTCTCGCAAGTGAAGTGTTAAAGGGTCACGAAACAACAAAACACATTTTTTGAGCTGTTGACAGTCGTATATGTGTCCCACACTGCTAAAAACACTATTAGGACACCTATATTTCACTAAAAAGTGTAAATTGGTTGTTTTTGCGTTATTTCAAGCAAATTTGTGCTTCCGGTTTGAAACGAATTTTTGAAGCTGCGTCACAGTCATGACATAATAGCGTTGTATTCCAGCATGCAGACTGGGCGTCTGTGCCAGAGTGTGTCTTATTACGTCTTACAGTGTGTTGCATTAATGCATGAGTAAAGCTTGGTTCAAACCAATCAGCGCGCTCTATTGTGCAACTTCATTAATATTCATTACTGTCAGAGTGTAGACGGCAGAGACGCCACGTTGTATTGGCAAAACAAGCGTGAAGTGTTGCTGCAGTTAAGTTTTGTTTTCATTTTCTCTCTGTGAGAGCGCAGCTGGCGTCACCTGTGGATTAGCAGTGTACGCGACGCGCGGCAACAATAACTTGCGTGTCTAAGGAGGATTATTGTTTACCTGAGAGCTGTTCTCATCTGCAAACGCTGAGATCCGGATTCGCTTGTAGTCTCCTCTAAATAAAGACGCAGCTCTAGTTGCTGTGGATTGTCCTGTCTCTACAGATTTGGTAAGTGAGCGACCAGTGCTCTTTGTTTATTCAGTTCGTATTTTATTCGTATCAAACAAACTATTGCACCGAGTGTAAACAAGTTAGCACTAACAGTTACAACCAAACTATAACCTCGTGTTGGATTTTGTGACCGGAATAACACACGCGGCTTTCTGACGCATCTAAGTTTCCGGGAAATGCTGAGTTTTTTTTTCTCTCATTCGCCGTGCGGTATCAAACATTGCATGAAAAATAAACGCTTAGAGCAGTTCCTCGAATCAAATATCATGTTTGTCGGGAGGGACATGAATGAATTCCCTGAATGAAAGAGCCAAACTGCAGTTAAAGTCCACCATTTAATAATTTGGCAAATAATTCGACTACAGATGTCCATGTAAACACTGTCCGCTGTGGTTGTGTGTTTTGACTCTGAAATTCAGCGCGCCCAAATAGACACTCCCACACCAAGCCTCTTTACTTCCTCCGACACTCCCCCCTAAACAGAGCTGGACACGCCCACTTTTCTGACTTTTTCCAAAGTAGAGGTGTGAAAACACCCTTCTGAAACGAGGGGGTTTCATGGCCCTTTAAGTTTTTCATCTTACAAAGTCTGCCATTTAAATAGCAAATGCGCCATGGCATGACTCAACTGACTCTTAAAGGGAATGTGTGATGAGACTCTGATTGGTTTAATGCACATTATGCCGCAGGCACACTTAAGTTTGTGCACTGCGTAAAGGGGCGTGATTAAGCAAGATGATTAGACATTAAAAAAGTGAGGGATTGGTCCATGTTTTAAATTTTTGTCTAGAGAGGTCATGTTTTGATCCTCGATTCGTCTCAAGCAGTCAAGTGATGCAATTTCGCAGGTCAGAGTTCATCAAGCTTGAACTTTTCAACACAGTGATCTGTGAAACTTGCAGCACGACCTAGCGTTTCCGGTCTGATGCATTTGCGTGCGTATGAATAGAAGTCTATGGGGAGAAAAGTCCAGTGTGACCGCAACTTTATGCTCAAAACACACCCATAACTCATTAAGAGAATAAGCACAACCCTGTAAGACCATGCACCAGATAATAGATTGTTAAAATAGAGCCCTATATCTTCATCGATTTGACATTGTATATATGCGCAGACACGTTTTTTTTTAACATATGCAAATACAGAAATGTGTTAGAAGTCTTCATAAAGTGATGAACCCGGCTACTTTCTGTTTAGATTTAGTGGCTTATTTAAGGATAATTGTGTAATTAATTTGTCATATTATTATGGCTAAAAACTGCAAACAACAAAGAATCATATGACTAGGATGTTAAAATAAACAAAAAAACTTCACCATGTGTTTTCTTAATTTGCAGTCAGTGCATTTGGGCCAGCTGTATGTGAGTGATTAAATACAAGTTTGGTTCAAAAATAGCAGAAATGCTGTAAATGAACCTTTTAATTATGGCAGATTCAGTACAACATGCTGATACATCGTTGGAATTAAAATTCAGGCAAAGTAATCACTTAAATCTAAATAAAGTGAAATTTTACTGATAAGAACTCACAATAATAAAGATAATAATTACAAACAATACAAGATTGGAACCGTGTTTGCGTGGGTTTCCTTTGTGTGCTCCAGTTTCCCCCTCAAGACATCCGCTACAAGTGAATTGGGTAAGCTAAAATTTTCCGTAGTGTATGTGTGTGAATGAGTGTGTATGGATGTTTCCCAGGAATGGGTTGCAGCTGGAAAGGTATCCGCTATGTAAAACATATGCTGGATACGTTGGCAGTTCATTCCACTGTGGCAACCCCAGATAAATAAAGGGACTAAGCCAAAAAGAAAATAAATGAATGGATGACAAGATTGGAAGGACTTCACTTAAAATATGAGAAAACGCTCAGTTGTGAGGGTGTTTGCAGCGCAGCATTTTTTTTTTCAGTCAATTGTCCTTACAAGTTGTTGTGGTTGTAATGTACAGTTGCATGTTATCCGCTCCTCAACCACTGTGATTTGATGGCTAGCTCAAAAGTGACACTGATTTTTTTAGCTTACAACGTCTGAAAAACCACAAAGCATTTAGGGATGACTGTAAAAAATGCAGTAAACTCTAGGCGAGATACAGCTGTGGTTACTTGCATCAGTATAATATAGTTTTTTGTAACATTGTACCACAATACTACGGTTGGAAAAAAAGAAAGAAAAATGTCTGTACCTGAATACTGTTAAAATCCTCAGAAAACCAACAGATAGTGCTGTTTCGGCTTAGTCCCTTTATTAATCAGGGGTTGCCACAGCAGAATGCTGCAACCCATCACTGGGAAACACCCATACACTCTCATTCACACACATACACTACGGGCAATTTTAGCTTGCCCAATTCACCTGTAGCGCATGTTTTTGGACTTGTAGGGGAAACCAGGGCACCCGGAAAAAACCCACTCGAACACGTGGAGAACATGCAAACTCCACACAGAAATGCCAACTGACCTTGTTGATGTTTAAACCAGTGATCTTCTTACTGTGAGGTGATTGTGCTACCCACTGCGCCACTGTGATGCCCTATACTCCCAACATGAACTTCCGAATTTTTTTTAGCTTACAACGTCTGAAAAACCACAAAGCATTAAGGGATGACTGTAAAAAATGCAGTAAACTCTAGGCGAGATACTGCTGTGGTTACTTGCATCAGTATAATATAGTTTTTTGTAAAATTGTACCACAATAATACGGTTGGGTTCGGGGAAGATGTTTATAATATACAACTTAATGTGCAATGTAATAAGTAATATAAATAATTCTTGTTAGAATTTTTGTTTTTGCATTACTGTGAGGGTTAGGATAGACGTTAATAAATAAATTGAATGTGTG